CGGTGACATTTTCGGGAGCCTCTCCCCGGGATTTCATAATCCGGCGATGGAAGTCGCGGGCAGAGATCGCGCTGCTGATATCCGGTCAGAAGTCCGCGTCGCCCACATACGCCACTGGATGTGATGATCCCGGTCGAGCGAGCGAATTCGTTGACAGATCGGAGCCGTGCCCGCAACGAGTCGAGAGGAAAAGATCAAAATTACGACGACGAATAAAAACCCCATCGTCGGCTCCGTGCGGAAGCGGAGACATCTCCTGCAAAGAGTACGACACGGAACATTAACAAAGAAAACACTAGTCGAAGCATACGATTGGACGTTATCGCCCTGCGGTCGTTTCCGATAGCTCGCGATCTCCCGGATAGCGTCCTCTGGAAAACTAGTGTCGGAGACGGCCGGATCGAAGAGCAGCCACTGGATTTTAGCGAGCCCGTCCGTCGAAATTCCCCATCGAACCGCTTCCGACCGCGACGGACTTTTTCCGGCCGACCAACGCTTTTTATCGGCAGTCGAGTGCGAGGGAAGAAAACCGGGGGAGGGGGCCGAATCGCGGACCCTAGCAACGATGAAACACGGGAACTGAATTGAGCCGAATCGTGAACGGTTGAGAGAATTCGCCAAAAGCATTTTCGCGGCCAATCGAAACGATGCAACACGGGAAAAGGGAGCCCCATTATCGTGGTTGGGGGCGGGCAACAGTTTTGTCGGAAGCATTGTATTCGATCTTGTTCGGCCGCCGGAACCAATTTCGATGATCGCAGGGACACCGGACCTACTGACTTTTCGGACGCCAATATATTCCTGTTGGATTTGTTATTTTTCCCAGGCTCGCCATCGGCTTCCACGGAATGCTCTCTATCATAGTATGCATTGGACCGCGGCTGAACGAAGCGGGAGATGCGCCATGTCTGGTTCGGTCTCGGGTTCCGACCCGGCGCTAGCACTACCATTACAAGCTGCAGCGATAGAACACAAAAAACGATATCTTATCTCGGTCAGCGTGTGATGGATTTTATGAGAAGAGCGGGAGAGGAAAGATTCGAGAGAAATCTGGTGCCGGCTCTGTTCTGGGCCCGGGAGGAGAGAATCCACCGACTGAGGGGGGAATTACAGCTCAGGTGGGCCTTGCTCTGATCGCACTGACTAACGAAGACTGAAGAGGGCCCTGAGTGCAGTCGATGGCATGCTGCTACCTACCAATATCGTGACTAGCCAGCTGGGCTGGTCGAACGAATTGAAGACTGATCCTTCTCGAATCAAAGCATTATTCTAGCGGATCCCGGGTCCAATCTAAGGTCCGGGAACCTTCACTGCCTATACGCCTTTAGCTCATAATTTCAGACATTATGCAGTAGCCTAGCGAGTCGCCGATGGTGTGGCCGGATATTTCTGCTCGATAACAGAATGAGGCGTTCATAATGAATTGAATATCGATCATTACTCCATTCCGTTTGGTTGTTCAAGAGCCGTACGAGGTCACGTTCTTGGAGGTTCCGCGGAGGTCTCCGAGGTTCTTTTGCGCAATCCTTGAGCTCCTCGTGAATATTCCTGGCAGCTCTGAATTTGTTCCGGGAGATCTTGATATATGGGAATCTCGTCTCGAGAATATTTCTTCTGAATACGTCAGCAGCGAAGCAGGGATCGTCTCAGTCGACGGTTGAGAGATCCTTATTAGTATTGCTTAGCAGGATTGTAGATTGTCATCCGGTCTCTCCGGCTGGTCGGAGCTGAAAGAAGTCGAGTTACTATGTTGAGAAATGTGAGAGACGGAAGACACATTCCGGGCAATCCCTTGCCGAGAGGAGAAGTCTTTCCGCCAGACGCTAGTCCCTCGAGAAGAGCCGTTAAGACGATGTTGTCATGGTAGAGCGGGGCTTATGAAGAAAAAACGACTCAGGAATCGATGGAAACGAAAGGACCAGGCCATCCAGGCCACTCGTTTCACTCAAACTCATCAAAGGACAAATAATTCGCAGACAGTTTTCTCCTCGCGGGGACAACCCCCGGAGGAAATTTCTGGATCGAGCTCACTCGATTCTCTCCCGAGAGAAGCAATGCATTGCGATCGCTCCTGGATTCCCAATGTCCCCCGCTCCATCGCTCTGGCAAGGAATAAGCGAGGAATAACCCCTCTGGTAAGGAATAAGCAAGGGAGCCCGTCTGACGGTTGAGAACTTCTCGCTAGTTTCGCGGCGGTGCGATCCTCGGCGACAGTGAAGGCTACCGCGTGCATGGCTTCGAGCAAAACGGAGTTTTTGCCGTCGTCGACGACGATGACGACGAGAACTTCAAGAAGCATGCCCCGACGACGACCGCCACCATCACTACCAACAAAATAAGGACGTCGCTGAGCCGTCAGAGGGCGTGGAGGTCGCTGCGCATCGATCGCTCGTCCGTCGTGCGTTTGCTGGTTGCGCGAGTTGGAGGAGGGCAGCAGTCCCTTCCGAGTGAGATCCTCAGGCAGCCAGCCAGCCAGCCAGCCTGCTTGCCACCGGTCCTTTCCCCAGAGCCCTCGTCCCTCTCCATTGCTTGCTAGCAGCACGCCAGGAATCCAGCCCGCCGTCCGCCGCTGGTAAAGGGACCTAAGGGCCTACGGCGGCAAAGGACGACCGAGGACGACTGTAGCGCCCTCCGGACCGTCGACGCGACTCTGCGGCAGTGAGGAGAAGAGTCGAAACAGTGGCAGTGAGGCTTCAAGTCGAGGCACCGTGTACAGTGAGCGGAGTGTCATGGTTCTTCAAGCAAGCAGCGATCGAGCGAGTTAGCTACCGAGCGGACGTCCGACCGATCGAGCGAGCGCGTGACCGCCCAGGACGGGCTTGTAACCCAGGAGTCCATCCTGCCAGTTTGGAAGAATATCTGCAATTACACAAAACGAACGCCGAGAAAGCCGCTGGGACACTATGCATTCAACGGTTCGCGGGCCCGAGTCGGACCGCGACCGCGCGAGTGCCGGGAATCCCGTAGCACGATTCCGACGGCGATTGAGCTACTGACTTTCGAAGTCAAGTCGCACGAGGACCTGACTGACTTGCGGGAGCACAGGCCAGCCAGCCAGACAGTCGGTCAGTCAGTCATTCTTTCGGTCGCTCAATCAGCCAGAAACCAGCCAGTCATCGCTCAGTTGCTCCGGTCAGTCTGTCAGGCGAACAGCCGAACAGCTCTCCCCGACACTAATTAGCAGGCCGACGGGGAAACGAGCTCGACGTGTTTGCGGCATGACACCGGGAAAATAGTGAACACGCTTGAAGTGATGCGGCAATGCGAAGTCGTCGGGAATGGAACGCGCTCAGGTGAAAAGCGACGGAAGATGCCGGTGGTGAGGCTCAACAGGAGCCCGGCCACGAGCAACGCATGCATATCAACACGATCATCATCAGCAACAAATTCATATTCATCATCCTTGTCTATGAAGAGCAGCGAAACAACAAAGCCGAGTACAACGAGCCGTACGCGGTTGCCCTATACGATGAACGGAACGGCGACAGAGAGAACCCGAAATCCTCTGACGACGATTTCATTAGGACGCTTCGGGCCAGGATCAGCAGCATTTGCAGCCGCAGAAGCAGATATAGCAGGAGCGGCAGAAGCAGCAACACTCCTCGACTGAAGCGGTTGCACGATCGATTTGTTGCCCAACGTGCTTTCGTGTCTTAGAGCAGCAAGTCCGCTAATTCGAAGTGATTCTGAACAGATTCAAACGCCAGGACGCGAGAAACTGGGAGTCTGAGTGTGTTTGAGATTGATGTGGAAGAAGTCAAAGTTTGGGAGGTAGGATGTGCTTGAGCGGATACTGCTAAGTCGGAATTTAGCAATAATAAGGACGACGACGGCAACAACAACAACAAACATGAATAAAAATACCAAAGTGCAACAACGTTCACTACGACTACTCTGTGCGAAGTGAGAAACCTCCGGTGTGAAAAAGTTTGTGCGTGTTCCTCACGTGGATACAGGTGGCAGTGTTTAGTGAGAAAGACAACTATGTGAAAAGGATTGAGACTAGTCTCCTGAAAGGTCCAGGGCCAAACAGTCTCCCTCCCCCTCTGGAGAGGGAGGAGTCCCCGATAACGGGCGCGGAGAATCAGCAGGAACAACAAAGAAATTCAAGCATCATAATCAACAACAACAACAACAACATCAAGAGGCTAACCCATCAGAAGGAATAAGACGAAGACGTCGGTGGAATCATTATCTGAAGCAACATATCACGAAGGAACGAGGAACTTTTCAAGCGCGACAGATTACTCGGTCTATCAGAATATCATGAGTATATCTTCGTCGCGTCAGTGAGATGACTGTGATAGTCGGTACTGCCAACAATGTGACGACGGTGATAAAAACGATGGTGGCAGTCGAGCACGAGCAAACCAGGCTGGCGATTGGAAACACGAACGATCGACACCAACATTCGATGGTGTTCAAACCCGAACAACGAGAGCAACTTCATATCGGCCTCTGTGAAGAACAACACGCACCAAGCGAACAACAACGGCGACAGCAACTTAGTCTACAATGTCGCGAGCAACAACGACTACAACGACAGCAGAAGCAGCCGCAACAGAAAGCAGAATCGCAGCAGCAGCAGCAGAAGAGAGCGATGATGAACCTCGAATCGAACTCCAGCAATGTCCACAGCTGACTGCAAAACGTCGAACAGCAAAGCCTCACCAGTAGAGATGCTTTAGGATTGGGAGCAGCCGCAGCAGCAGCAGAAGCAGAAGAAGGCGAAGAGGTTTTGATGCCAGACACCTCAGCAGCTGGAGTTGATTCGCAGCAGCAGCAGCAGCAGCAGAAGCAGGAGGGTCGGTTGCTGTCCATATTTCGCTGTCGTCGTCGCCGACTTCGGTTCGAAGATCGAAGAAGAGGGGCGAGGTTCGCTTCGAAGCGGCGCGAGTAGAAGAGGGCTCCTGTATCTTCCGTCACCGAAGTCAGTCCTCCGATTGTATGGATGGCCTGGCGAGTGTTTCCAGTCGAAAGCTCGCGTCGACGCCTCGCAGCTCCGAGGGGTCCGAGTCCACGTTGTCGACAGCTGATTACTATCATGTACTGTCGGCCCATATCGAGCAGGCCGTCGACGCCTTCATGGAGAGGCTCGGCGGCCGACTTCAGGATCTCGAAATGGAGCTGAGATACGCCTGGCGGGCCGTCGACTTACTTTCGACCGAGTACGCGAAGATGTGGGACAAACTCGAACGGCTCGAAATTCTCTTATACGAACAGCAGGAAGTTATAGCTCAGCTACTCATCGAGTCCGCGCAGGACGGCGAGCTCGTCGCCTTCGAAACGGCTCAAGCGACGGCGGCGATGATGCACTTCGAAGATGCAGACGTTCAGGACGGTAGTCCTGCGCATTGGAAGCGGGTGAACAGCTCCAACGTACAGCAGCAGCAAGAACAACAACAACAAAACCTTCAGCAGCTTCAAGGTGGCGTCGAAATGAGAGCCATGCCATCTTCGCCGCCGCATCCGTCACTTGAGAGGAAAAGATCAAGTGTTGACGAAAACGACGCCGTTGGCGGAGCTCGCCGTAAGAAGCCGGCTGGTGCAGGGCAAGGAGCAAGTTCGAGTAATGGCGGGGGAGGAGACCAGCTCTCTGTTCGTGAGAATCACTTGAGTTCGTCGTCAGAGCCGTCCCCGGAGCATACCGCCGACAGTTCACCGCCAAGCCGACGGCATTCGAAAAGAGACGGCAAACGACGGAGAAGTAAACGGAGATCGTTCCAACGACAAACGTCGATGAGCGTGGGAGGCGCTCCCGTTTCCGAAGCCGAACAATTATTGCAGACAGGCCAAGGCGCAAAGCAGCGTCAACTAACTGTGATAACGTGCTCTATAACTACAGTGGCCACGACCGTAACCACGACGTCTTCTCAACAACCGACGACGGCAGCGACGACCGTCGCCATAATGGCCGCAGGTCAGCTACCCGCTAACCAGCAGCAGCAGCAGCAACAACAACAACAACAGCAGCAGCAATTATTTATGGCCGGGAGCAGTCAGCCTCTAGAGAGAATTATGGCGGTCACTTCGGACGCACGAGCATCGGTCACCGAGACGGCTACAACAATTCAATCAGCGACTAGGATTCCGTCCGGTCGTATAGTAGATTGTAGTAAGAGCAGCAATCTCGCCCTTGTGCAACAGTCCTCCCCATCGTCGTCTTCGACGCCGACTTTCGTGTCCACCGTAGCACCCGATACTCTCCAGTCGGCGAGCCTCGCTGGAGATCAACACCCAGTTTCTATTGTGCAACAGATGCAGCGACAACAGATGAATCAACAGCATTCTGTTCAACCAAAACCGACAACGTCTCCACCAAAAGCCTCAATGACGTCAACAGCAGCGTCTGGCATAGTGGGACAAGCGAACCAGGCGTCCAAGGACATTTTGGCATCGTTCGGAGAACTGAGTTTCGAGCGGTCGCAGGAAGACGAAAGCTTCCTCGACGATCGCGTCTATCCCGAGGAGGAACCGTCGGAGCCGCCTATCGAGTTTCCAGAGTTCACTCCTACGTCGTTCCACAACCTGATAGGGGGCGAGAGCGCGCCCCTGACCGTGGCTCAAGCCCAACTGCAGCACGAACAGCAGCTCGAGTACCGGTCTCAGGTATCGTCGGGTCGACGTGGTTCCCGGCCGGAAAATCAGTCCGCGATGGCGACGGCCGCCGCTGGAACCAGGGGATCGAAGGTGGATTCGGGATATATCGAAGCTCAAGTTCCCAGGCAACAGCAACAAATACATCAAGATCCATTTCAGAAGACAGTCCAAGCAGCAGCAAACGCGAGTAACCAGCAGTACGTTCCTCCGAAAGCAGCCCCGATACAGCATCCGCCGGAACCGTACCATCATCAAATTCCACGAACGGCGCAGCACCAACAACAATCCGTTCAACAACAACAGCAGCAGCAGCAACAACAATACTTACAACAACAACAACAACATCTGCAACAGCAGCAGCAGCAGCAACAACAACAAGCAGAAGGACAACAATTCAGTTCATCGTTCTCTCTCGCCAAGAAGCTCGGTAGCAAAATAGTTATCATGGGATACTGTAAGGTGGTTGATCAAGCTAATAGTATGCTATCAGGCAAAATGACTCGATCCTTCAGTCAGGACGAGCAGGAGATCCAGGGCGGTCCGAGCATTGTCTCAGACATGTCTCGGCTCGGCTACGGATATCCGCAGGACGCTTTCCAGCCGCCAAGTAGTCAACCCATCCAGAGTGTTACCCAGCTAATGAGTGGCGATGATCCACCACTCGATTCGCCTCTCGACGGCGATGACGAGATGCGTCGTCGGAGAGAGCACCGCGAACCGAAAGTCGTTCCCATTGACCATCCACCGACTCCGACGAGCACGGGGAACCAAACGTTCTTCATAGCTCCGCAGAATCCGTACGAAGAGTACCACGAAGTCGAAGTGGCCTCACGCAGAGGAAGCACCGAATTCAGTCGACGAGGCAGCCGGAATGACCTCGTATTCGATGTGATGTCAGGCAGTCGTCGAGGTAGCTCTGAAGGAGCGATGCAGCAGCGTAGCAGGCGATCGAGCCAGCAGAGTCTGCGAAGACTAAGTAGTGGATACGAGGGTAGCGCGAAAGAAATCGGCAACTTTACGTCGCAGGAAGAGGAAGACCACATGAAAGAATGTGCACAAACCGAATGGCGTAACCTGGGCGTAACCGACATGCCCCCTGAACAACAACCGGTTGACTTCGGGCTTGGCGACAGCGTCAGCCGGAGTTCCCAAGAATTCGGTGGCGGAGCACCAGCCACGGCGAACGACGTCCCTCACCAAGGCCTCGCAGCAGCAGCAGCAGCATCGAATTTGTTTTATGATCAGCAGCAACAACTTCAACAGCCACACCTGCAGCAAAGACAGCAGAAGCAGTCTACAGGTGGCGGCGATCAATCAGCTGTAGCGTCGTCGTCGGCTACTAGCAGCAGCAGTAATTTGGAGAACTCGGACCTTATGCATCAGTCAGTATTGTCAGGAGCAGCAGCAGCAGCAGCTCAGCAGCCTCCGGGATCAGGAGCAACAAGTATGGCCGAAGAGCAGGAGAGTGCCTCGATGGTCCCCATCCGATTGGTGAAGCGCAGTATGCGTCACGTTATGGAACGGATGGCGTCAATCAGCGCACCGCAAACCGCAGGAGAGGAGGCGACAACGGCCGGTAGTAATGACCGTAAGGCGAGTGTGGCTTCACAGGGTGAGACTGGGTCAGGCTCCACTCCAATCGGTACGCCCCGTAGTGCAAGTATCAAATGCGTCAGCTTTGCAGAGGCCATCGCGAAGGCCAAAGCGGACGCCGAACAGCATGCGGCCGCTCTTGCAGCTCAAGCACAAGCGCTTGAAGCTGCACAGCAAGCGGCCCAACAACAAGGACAACAGCAGGAAAAGCAACAACTTGATGGTGTTGCTAGCGATGATGATGAAGCTCATCGGCAGCAACAAGTCGATTTGGAGCAACTCGATCAAGATCACCAAATCGGTGCCCATCAAGATCAACTGGAAGAGGAACAAATCACTGAAGATGGTACGATTATACAGAAACAGGCTACTGGTCGGTCCCTGAAGAATTTGGGCTCGCAAGGGAGCCAGGATGGAAAAGCCAAATGGCTTGCTCTGGTTCAGGTGAGCCAACGATTGCAGTTCGCGCGGATTTGGATTTCTTACAGCTGTAGTTTTTAGAATCGCGGCGCAGGAACCGGGAATTAAACTGATGGATAATGATTCCCATCGCGGGCGACGCGACCATCCGCGTTCGGAGCAGAGCGGATGACTTCGATACAGCGTATTGCGACTCGCGGAATGACGAAGTCCGTAATGCATCGCATTCCGATCATGACCCTCGCCGGGTTGGATATTTCTCTGCGCACGAGCGATTGAATGATGATGTTGATAATAATTGCCTGCATCGCGTCTGTCTAGATACTTTTGACCGTAGCTCTCAATCAGTTAGCTCCGAGGAGACCGTCGTCGACGTCAAAGTCACTTCACTCTAATTGGAAACATTCTGCGCCTAACATGCGCCTGGATGCAATGATCTCGGTGAGATATACCAGCGGAGAACTCCTTCCGAAGGGCTGGAGATATTGAGGAGCTCCCTTGATGCGGGCATTTGTGTCCTCTTCCTTACTGGTCCATCAGATGATTGGAGCCCCTTCATCGATCCGAAAGGAGGCTCGATTGCAGGGTTATCAAAAAGTTGGTCAGAATGGAGCCGGTCGGTGAAGAGAAAGAATGTGGTCCTGGGGCTCTTGGCCCCGGAGTCGAGAGCCTTCCACCAGCGAGAACCAGAAACTACATATGTCCCTGAGCGCTGTCTCTCATGAGTCTTCCACACAAAGCGTTCGAGGCGAACGGGAAGCACCAGATAAGTTTTGGACGCGGTTGAATCGGCCGAGCGACGACCGCTTGTGACCTCGGATTGAATCTGTTGGCTTTCTTGCTTGCTTGCTCGCTCACTCGAACGGCCGTGGGGACTTGTATCGGGAGCTCTTAATTAGAATCGGGAGATGGTCCTTCCGACTTCCCCGGCCGCTCGCTCATTTCGCCAACTGGGCACTCAGCGAGCGAGTCTGCTATAAGGCCGACACGCTAGTCCGCCGTCTCCGTACAGACAATGGCGTTTAGACGCACGCTGTCCTGAGTCGAGGACGTAGCTCCTCCGAGATGATTAATCTGGAAGAGCGGCTTCGGTCTCCCCTGAGAGAGATGCGGGACGAGCCGAGGATATCAGAATCGAGCGGGAACGTCGTTCGCTTACCTCGATCACGGGTGAGGCTGCCTGTTCGTCGCGCGGAATCGAGGAGATCCGTCGAAAGTTATGCTTTCAAATCGGAGCGATTCGAATTTGCGTGTAAGTCTTGTAGTTCTCGGCGTCCTTAGACGTCCGGAGGCAGAACCCCATCGGGGAGACTCTTGAAGCTGTTCGGATCCTATGATTACTCGAGTAAACAAGCGAAGAATTCGTCAAACACGCAGCGATTTGTTTGTTCGCCCAAGTCTGAAAGAGCATCATTATTTCTTATTGCGCTGCATTGCATGCGTGTTCCCATCGGCCCGGCCATGGTCCGCGGGAATCGGACTCATAGACCAACCAGAGGAGAGGATGCCCGAAAGACTTGTGAGCTGTGATGTTCCCCAACAGTTCGCGAGATATACACAAATCTCCCCGGGGAGGAACCGAGATTGCAGCTTGGCCATTTATGGTCGACTCTGCCGTTTCACAAGCGAACAAAGCGAAGGAGAGCGGGATCGCGACGCTGTCCTGAGGACTCGGTGCCGAGTCTCAGGAATAAGACAAAGTCACGAACTCTCCACCATTCGGACGGGTAGGTCCCCTTACGAGTAAAATCCTGCCCCACAAAAGCCCACGAAGGAAGTCGAATCGTTTGCGAGCCTTGCTCTGGCTCGAACCTTTGTTGTTCGATTCCTGTGCTGCCCTCGACAGAGAGTTTGTAATCAGTCCCTCGAGGTTTACGATGTATCGACGGTATATGTGATGTCATTGTTCGACAGCATCTTCGTCTGAATTTGAACCGCGGAGCCAGCCCTGAAGTTCTCCCGGGCAGAAATGTCTGCCGCTTGGAACGAGGAACTTTTTTCCACCGAATGTCGTTTATCTGGCTCCTTATCCTAATCATGAAATGCTCCCTTGATGGCCCTCGCGCTCGTGTCGTTTACCCGCCCCCGCTCGCTGTTTCGCCTGCCTGCCCGCAGGCATGCTCGTGCATGCCCGCTAGTTAGATGTTGCCACCGCGCTCACTAAATGGCCGCCACCACCGCCCGGCTGGAGCAACGGCTGCGGTAACAACTGAGAGCGACGATTTCCTCGAGCCTCTTCGAAGCCCGACCTCGACGACGGCCCTTTTGCGCCCGGAGTCGCTCCGGTAGAGCTAGGTGTCAGGTTTCCGACATGTGGTTGACCCCCTGTCGGGAGACTTGCCACCCAACTCACTAAGCCCACTGCGCGCGGCTACCTAGTTGTTCATCGGTCCGTTCCGTCAGTCGATCCATCAGACAAAGAAGAGACCCTCGGGATCACCGCCTCCGTCAAAAACCTACCACTCAAAGCACGCTCCAGTTAGCCGTTCGACCGCCGCCCGGACGGCTTTTGGGATGGCTGGCCCGACCGACGGCTTTTCGAAGTTCTTCGCCAATGAGCTCTTGCCGGGTCCTGTTGCGATTTCCTAATTGTCGACCTAACGCAGATCGAAGCCTTCCCTTTTCGCAGGCGGTAGGAACAAAGAGAGGAAGCTCGTCTTTGCAAACTAGCCGTTGCGACCCCGTCGCAGCTCTTTTCCTCCTGCGCATATTTCTGTTTCTTAATTCACTCGTTGTGATAACAATGAGAACAGTCTGCCGTCGTCGTCCTCGCAAAACAGACGGACCGAGATTGCTCGGAATAGAGTCTGGGCGCAGAAGGAACGCGAGAAGCGAAATCGGTCGGCTGGCCGAGACTGGCCGACCAGCTGTCCAGGGTAATTGATGCGGCTCAATGTCGAGGTCTGCGAATTCGCTCGTCTGAGCGGAGCGGCGTGTCAGCGGCGATCTCCGGGGCGCCCGCGAGCCGTAACGTGAGACTGTCGATGACGTTTCTGTTTTCAATATGGCGCTCCGGACCTCTCGCGAGTCGCCGGATAACCGTTGCTCAGTCGCTTGGAAAGCGATAAGAGAAAACAGCTGTCGCAGTTCAACTCCACTCACAACTGTACTCGGTAGAAGTTTCTCTCGCTCACCCTTCCGGCCTCCGGAGCCGACCGGCCAACAGCCGGGCTCCGCTAATGCTCCGGGCACAATTCCATGAATACTGAGACGTGGAGCGAGGATCTCTCAGCAATCAAAGGTCTCCTCATCTCAGCAAGTCGAGTTGCTCCTGACGGCTCACGATAAATTGTTTTGCTGATTGGAGCTAAGGGAGTCGCGAGCAACTTCCTCGTATGATGCCGTCGATCAGGACACGCGGATTCCCGAGTTCGGGATCGCGGTTCTGGAGCGAGCACTCCGTGACCAATAGGCGAACAGAATCGACCAAGTTTATAGGTTTGGATCTCCGTCTATTTTCCCCTTTTCCCCTCGGAGATAGATCGGCTGCCGCATCGAGGACTCGGACACCATAGATTCGAATCTCGTGAATGGCTCGTATGAAGGATTTGACAGCTCTTCTTTTTCTCTTTCCGCGGATTCTCGTGCGCTCCGCCGCCCGGTTTCGAGAGTAATTTCGCTTCGCAAACAGAATACCCCGTTTTGCGTCGAACGGAAATTGGCACAGACAACCGCCGAGCGCGCAAACAAAGTGAATACATTGTTCATGTCACTTTATCCTGTCGACTTCAATTTATACGTCGATACGGCTCAGCTTGCAATGCGTCATCGAATCGAAGAGCCCCCGACTTCGATGACACTACACTCGCGAGAAGCAACAGAGTGGAACTCTTACACAGAGTGTACCTCTCTCAGAGCGGTCCGTAGCGCTCCGAATAATAATCGCTCCACGAAATGGTCAAGTTTCGGAAGTGGCCCGAATATCGCCTCGTTGGAATCTTCGTCAAGCGTCAAGCTCTACCCCCTGTGCGTGATCGGGGCATGAAGTGGCACACGGGGCGTGCTTGGAGCGACGACTGCGTTTGCTCGAAGCAAGGTCGAGAGGTTCTTTCAATTGCATCTGTGCCGTCCGCTTGGTCCGGCGGCGCAAATATTTTGCGGCGTCCGCCGTTGCATGGGTCGGGACAGGACCGCCGACCCGACAAACTCAGAGGCACAAAGACTAGAAGCAGCAGGCACCGCTGACGTCTTCGCGAGGAAGGCACGCTCGGTAGCGCCGAGGAGACGGGCGGCGAAAGCATGGAGTTGAATGAAAGGAACGCATCGCTCCGGGGAAAACTTCATCGGGGCGGCTCTTCATGGAAAGGCTGCGAGAGCGGCGGAGAATACTCTAACAACAAACTCTCGAGCGAGCCAACATTCAGGCACCTACATCGCCAACGATGACCGCGGACCTTGAAGGCAGCGTAGACTTTATCGGGCCTCCCTTGAGCACTTTCAGAAAAGACGTGCTCCCTCCACACGACTGTTTTCCACTCTTCCACGTCGAATGGAATCTCTGTACTGAATGCTTGGACGACTCTCCATGGTGTGGTTAGTCGGAGAGTAATATGTTAGAGACAGGTCCGAGACTCCGAAGCATCGCAGCAGTAGCGCCGTGCCGACCGGGGCTCCGTGGGTGACAGGCAAATGCGTCGGCCAGCGGTAGAATTCATCAAATGTTTGTACGCCGAAATGCCTACCGCCTGTCCAGCGGTTCAGGGCTTAAGCGTCCACGACTCGCCGGCCTCCTGCTGGTCGCGCTCGCTTGCAAAGAGGCTTTCCTCTGAGACAGGTCGGGTTTGCAAACCTCAGATTGGAGGAGCGAGCGTTTCTATTCTGGTGGCTCGCCCCCAGGGTCAGGTCGGCGAGTTCGTCCGCTCGCCTCCTCTATCCTGTTCGGGCAGGCGAGCCACTCGTGTTCGTACGTTTTCGCCCACCACAAGGTGTGCGTGTTCTATTCGTGGAACATTCGAGTGAACATAGTTTCGCGCTCGAATGGTGGGAAGGAGAGCGCTTTTTGAAGCTCGAAGACAACAGCTCCG